TAATTATAAATAATATTAAAAAATCAAATATTTAAAGAAAATAAAAATTAGATTATAGCTATAAGTAGTATCAAAAAAATCTAATACTTAAAAAAGATAAAATAAGATTATAGTTAACACTAATAACAAGGGTTCCAAAGCTAATAACAAGAGTTCTAAAACTAATAATAAGAGTGTCAAGAATAATAGCAAGAGTACTAACAAGGAGTTCGAAATTAATAAACACAATGATGTTTTAAAATATAAAATAGAAATCAAGAACTTGAAAACTAAAATCAAAGAGTTAAAAAAATTCATTAAACAAAAGGATCAAAATTCAACAACTGAACACAATTATTCTTAAAGGTACCAGAAAATTAAATGAAATTATTTTTGAAGAAATTACAGCAATTAAAAAAATGATTAAAAAAAAGATTACAAAGAAAGTATAAAAGAATTTTTTTGTGATCGGTCTATGTTTGATATACGCTTATTTTTTATAATAGTCACTTTATTTGTGATTTTATAAATTTTAAATGTAAATATTATGTTCAAAACAAATAAATAAATAATATTTGCATATGCTTAAAAAAAATTAATATTTAAGAAAATAAACAAGATTATAGCTATAAGCAATATCAAAAAAACTAATACTTAAAAAAATAAAAATAAAATTATAGTTATAAATAGTATTAAAATTTAATATTTAAGAGAAGTAAAAGTAAATTATAGTTACAAACAATATTAAAAAATTTAATATTTAAAATAAATAAGAATATCTATAAGCAGTATTAAAAAATCTAATATTTAAAATAAATAAATATAAAATTATAGTTATAAATAGTATTAAAAAAATTTAATACTTAAGAGAAGTAAAAATAAGATTATAATTATAAGCAATACTAAAAAATATTTATATTTAAGAGAAGTAAAAACAAAATTACAACTATAGATACTGGTGAAACCAAATACTAAAATCTGATTGGCTATTATATTAAATTTCACCAGTTTCACCAGTTTTACCATCATTTATCAAGAGTTTCATCAGTTTTACTAGCATCTATAATTATAACTATAAACAATATTAAAAAAAAGTATTAATATTTAAGAGAAATAAAAATAAAATTAAAGATATAAACAGTACCAAAAAAACATAAATACTTAAAAAAGATAAAACCAAAGTTACAAGCAATACAAAAAAACCAATGTTTAAAAAAAGTAACATATAGATAGATTTTTGGAATTTATATTAGAACTAGATTTTTTTAAAACTTTAAGATTAAATAACTCTTAATATAAAAGTTTTTTAAAAATAATTTTATTATCATTGTGTTCGTCTCTTTAAGATGATCCTAATAAACCCAAAATTATTTAAATCTAATCATAGGATCACAAGATATTGTGCTATCAAATAATAATACACCTCATAAATAAGAAAGATTGGTTAGACCTGGTCTAACCAATCCTTCCTATCTATAAGGTGTATCATTATTTGACAGTGCAATATCTTGTGATCCTGTAATTGGATTTGAATGATTTTGGGCTCATTAGGATCATCTTAAAGAGACGAACACAATGATAATAAAATTATTTTAAAAAAACTTTTATATTAAGAGTTATTTAATCTTAAAGTTTTAAAAAAATCTAACCCTAATATAAATTCCAAAAATCCGCCTATATGAAAGCAAAAAATTATATTACTATAAAATAAAAATAATAATAAAATTCAAGATAAAAAAAAAAATTATTAATCAGATAGCGATAGTTGCTATCTGTTTAAAAATTAAAAAAATTAATTTATAGAAAGACATAAGCATATTATACTATATATAAAACAATACGTACTATAAATTAATTTGTATAATATAGTCGAGACTGTCTAATTGCATATTCTCTCTAAATGTATAAAGATTTTGGTTCCTCAAAATTATTAATGTAAAAATAAACGCATATACTGTCTATATTGCATAAAAAAGTCTGATGGATAGCATGCAATTAGACAGTATCAACTGTAAATTAAACAAAAAATCATAATATTAGAAATATTAGAGTATAACAAGTTTAAATTATAGCATATATGGTGCCTTTGCTATAGAAAGGGCCAATACTCCTCAAAAAATGAAAATTGAGATTTTGCTATATTCGACACGGGCTACATTCTTCAATTATAATAAAAATTGAGATATTTAAAAGAAATTTCTTTAGAGGACTCGGGATGTTATGTGGTCTGGTCTGGTCTAAACTGACGGATCACAGTTAGTCTTAAGACCGGTCAGAAGTTAAAAAAAAAATTGGTCTGCTCTTTAAGATCAGACCTAGATGCCGGTGAAACTAGTAAAATTCTTGGTGAAAATAGCGAGACTGGTGAAATTTAATATAACAGCCAATCAGATTTTAGATAGTCACCAGTTTCACCAGCATCTATAGTCTGGACAATTCTGAACCGGTCAATTCTTAAAAATTGGATCAGAATAGTGTTCCAAATCAAAAATCAATTAATTGTTTAGTTAATCAAGTTGACAACTAACTAATCGATCATGATAATTACCGTAAGTGGCCGGATACCGGGCCTGTTTAGGGCCTGTTACATTTCACCAATTCTAGACCCCTTAATAGACCCGGGTATAGTACACGGGCTGAGAGTTTATACGTATCAGCATACTTTGCGTTTATAACAGACATTCTAGATTTTTTTAAAAAAAAAACTATATTTAATTAACGATTTGCACCCGAGTATACGTAGTACATAGTGGGTCTATTATTGAGGGGGTCTTGTATTCCAGATGCAGTAATTTCAGTTTCAGCCCAAATTTCAACATCAGCTGTCGGTTTTTGGTAACTTTTTTTTTAAATCGAATAAAATATATATACGTATTATACCTCAGATACATTTTTGTGTTGGATCTAATCATCTAATCTGACGCATGTCTAAATGCTGATTTTCAGATGATATATGGGGTGTTATCTATTAAAACAGCCCTTTTTTACATAAATTTTATTTTGAGATAATTGAGTTTAATCATT